TGTGACCTTAAATCTTCCAGTCAAAATGGAAGCATAGGTAAACGTGGCTCACCTCCACATACAACCACAGCAAAAGTTACAACTAAATTATAAAAACAACTATCACCCAGGATCACCAGAAAATTGAGCTATATGGAAGTTCAACCACCAAAAAATTAAAGAAGTCACATTCATTCAAATGGGTAGGAGGGATGGAGACACACGAAGACATATGGAGATGTGAAGAGGCAGAATGGCGACCCCTCACCCATGTGTGGTGGATAAAAATTGGGATCAGGAGGGATACCTCAGGAACAAGGGATCCCACCCCTATACCAAACCACTCAGCCAAATGCTCCAGTACCAGGAAGATAAGTCCCCATAATTTGTGGCTGTAAAAACCAATGGGGGTTGGGGTGGCAGAAGAAACTGTGTGATTCTCAGAAGTCTCCTCTAAAAGGGTCTTTAATGGACTTAAAACTTATACAGACTCACTTCCTCTGGGCTCCAGTATCAGGGCAGTAGCTGGAAGGACACCAGTGGCATATGGGGAGAAACTGAAGTGTCTGGCATCAGGGCGAGTGCCAGAGGACAGCTTCCTCACAGACAAAACTCCAGAGGCCAGGCAGCAGCATTGTCCTCTTTATGAGCTCTCCCTCACAGAGAGCCACAGAGCTACAGAGTAGCTACACCATATCTGAGACTCTATCAACCTGGTTCACATGGTTGCTCCACCCTGGTGACTACCTAAGGCTCAGCCCCATCCAACTTACTGGTGTGCTTTTCTACAATAGGCCACGCTTTTATAGGGAGTCAAAGCAGCTTTAGGTGGTACATAGAAACAAACACAGGGAGGCTGCCAAAATGAGAAGACAAAGAAATATGACCCAAATGAAAGAACAGAACAAAACTCCAGAAAAATAAATAAACAAAATGGAGATAAGCAGTCTATCAGATGTAGAGTTCAAAACACTGGTTATTAAGATGCTCAAGGAACTCATTAGGTACTTCAACAGCATAAAAAAGACCCAGGCAGAAATAAGTGAAATAAAGAAAAATTTATAAGGAACCCACAGTGGAGGGGATGAAGCTGAGAATCAAATCAATGATTTGAAAAATTAAGAAGAAAATAACATTTAGTCAGAACAGCAAGAAGAAAAAAAAAAAGGATAGGCTAAGGAGCCTCTGGGATAACTTCAAATGTACCAACATTCAAATCATGGAGCATGAGAAGGAGGAGGAAAAGCAAGAAATTAAAAACTTATTTTAAAAAATAATGAAAGAAAATTTTCCTAATTTGGTGAAGGAAATAGACGTACAAGTCCAGGAAGTACGGAGAGTCTCAAATGAGATGGACGCAAAAAGGACCACACCAAGACACATCATACTTAAAATGCCAAAGGTTAAAGATGAAGACAGAATCTTAAAAGCAGCAAAGGAGTTCCCACAAGACTGTCAGCTGATTTCTCAAAAGAAACTTTGCAAGCTAGAAGGGACTGGCAGAAGTATTCAAAGTGATGAATAACAAGTACCCACAACCTAGATTACTCTATCCAGCAAGCTATCATTTAGAGTTGAAGGGCACCTAAAGTGCCCCCCAGACAAGGTAAAGCTAAATGAGTTCATCATCACTGAACCATTACTATATGAATTGTTAAAGGGATTTACTTAAGAAAAAGAAGATCAAAACTATGAACATCAAAGTGGTAATAAATTCACAACTATCATCAACAGAATCTAAAAAACAAACTAAGCAAACAAGCAGAATAGAAACAAAATCATAGATATTGAGACCATTTGGATGGATATCAGTTGGGAGGGGGAAGGAGTAGAATGGGGGAAAAGTGCAGGGATTAAGAAGTACAAATTGGTAGGTACAGAATAGGCAGGGGATATTAAGAACAGTATAGGAAATGGAATAGCCAAAGAACTTACATGCACGACCCACACACGTAAACTAAGGAAGGTGATTGCCAGAAGGAATGGGGTGTACTGGGTGGAAGGGGACAAAGGAGTAAACTTAGGAAAACTGTAATAGCATAATCAATAAAATATATTTTAAAAAAGAATGTGATCTTATTTGGAATAGGATTATTGCAGATGTAATTAGTTAAGATGAGGACATAGTGGAAGAAGATGGGGCTGGTGTCCTTATGTATAGAGAAATTTGGAGACACATATGCACACTGGGGAACCTCATGTGAAGAGGAAGGCAGAGAACTGGGTGACTCATCTACAAGCCAAAGTCAAAGATTTCCAGCAAACCACCAAAAAGTAGGGGATATGCATGGAAGAGATTCTTCCTCACAGCACTCAGAAGGAACCAGTCTTGCCAGCAACTTGATCTCAAGACTTCTGGCCCCCAGAACTATGAACTATAAATTTCTATTGTATATACGCCCAGTCTGTGGTACCATATCATGGCAACCCTTGCAAACTAATACAGTATCCAAACTGTTATTAACTAAAATATATAGGCTTTAATTTAAAAATTGCATGGTACTTATATTTAAAATGTAAAATTATAATTTTGAAATATTTCCAAAACCAATTTTCCATTTATTGGCTCACCTGTTTTTGAGCAATTTCTTGTGGTGTACTCTAAAGATCTTTATGACTACAGAGCTTTCCTTGCAGTTTGTTTAATGCGACTATTGGGTCCAATCTTTTGAACTAGACTAATTAATACTAAATAGATTACCAACTATGTGACCTTGTCTAATCCCTTACCTAATCCCTTGTCTAATGCCCTGAATCTTTTTCTACTTTAGAAAAGAGTGTAAGGCTAGATTCTTTCTAACCTCCAGCTGAGACATTCTGTGACTTATAGGAACACTTGCCAATCTAGGCAGACTTAATGTCCTGCAGTCTAGGTAAGCTCAGAGCAGAACTACTACTTATAGAAACAGTTCTGCTAATATACCAGGATTTAAGAACAATATTTAAAAAGAGTGCCCCAACAAATTAAATATTCCAAGTGAAGAACCCTGAAGTTTTGAAAGCCTGTTACTATTTAGAATGCATAATTTTAACATAAATATTTTAGAAATATTTGTTTAGTTTACTATGTGTTATTGTTAATACAGGGGGTCCTGCATCTAGATTTGTTATATGTCATTAAAAAATCAACCATACAATTCCATAGAATTGAAATTATAATTATTTTGAGTGATCTATTTACTATTTAATGGTATTTAATTTTAGATGCTCCTAAAATGTATAATAAAATTTTGGGATGCTAAATGATTGCCTCATCTATGTTGTGTATTTTCTGAAAATAATTAGTTTTGTTAATTGTTTGGAAACTGAGGTGGGAGTGAAGACACAACTGGGACTTGTGGACTGGGTTGAAGTTGAGGGGTGGGGTGATTAGAGAGACACACACTTCTCTGCCTGTGTTTGAAACTCCTCACAGTGCAGGACTGAGTCTGGAGTACAAAATAAGGGGATGGGCTGAAGAAGGAGTTAGAAAACTAAATCCCCCTGCCACTTTCCAGGTTTTTATGAAGGCACATTGGTCAAGGTAGGAGAGACATTTTACCTAAAATTTATCATCTTGATTTCCAATTTTTAAATATTTTGATGGATGTTATGAGGACCATTCATACTCTTGCCCTGAACCTGGCAAATGTGAAGGAAAGACTAAGTAACATCATAATTTTGTGTTGTCAACCTATGAGTGGTCTATCTGGCTTGCTAATGATTGATTTACTAGTTTAAGTCATACTTTATATATAAGTGAGTGAAAGTAATGACTGAGAAAAGAAACGTAAAGAAATGAAGAATAACAGACTAAGGAAACTATAGTTTCTTTTTTCTGCCCTGTGGATTTTGGAATATGGTTGTCTTTCTTTGGGAAGCTTTTCTGGTAAGTTGATGATGATGATAAAAACTGATGCTTTGTTATGTGTTGGGCCCTCTTCTAAAAGCACACATTAACAAATCTAATCATATTCGCAGCAGCATAGGTAGGTCCTGCAGTAACACCTTCGTTTTACATGAGGAACCATAGGCTTCAAGAGTGTGACTTGCGTGTGGGTAGTCACACAACCAGCTGAGCAGTGGAAGAGGAGATTTGAGTCCAGACAGCCTCGATTCAGAATCCCCGCTAAAGAATTCTAGGGGGCTTTTGTCTACCAAGAAGGTCCTCACAAACAAAATGTCTGGTTTGCAAGCAACTTAGCAACTTTTCCCTCTTTACCAGACAGTAATGTGACCTACAGAATTAAACACATCCTTAGGGTTAGCATGATTTTCAGGTAATGGGTGGTTCTACTGCCAGGGCTGAGCACACACAACTGCTTCGTATTTGTTTTGTCTTTTTTTGTGGTGTTTTGTTTTGCTTTTAAATATAAGCTTGGCACAGAACCTGGTACTCCACAAATCCTGGGAAGAAGGGAGAGAGAGGTAACAAGAGGGAAGGAGAGAATTCATCTTGTTAAATTAATGCAATTTGATGCCAAAGACAAAAATAATCACTTGAATTACTCCAGCCCAGCCCGCATCCTCTGGTGTGGACTTCCGACTTAGCCCTCAAAGAAAGGCTCCTAATGGAGGAGGTCTAAAGCAGCGGTGTCCAACCTGCAGCCTAGAATGACTGAGAATGCAGCCCAACACAAAATCATAAATTTACTTAAAACATTATGAGATTGTTTTGTGATTTTATGTCACAATGTATTTAATATGCGGCCCAAAACAACTCCTTCCAGTGTGGCACAGAGATGCCAAAAGGTTGGACACCCCTGCTGGAGACTCTCTTATGAATAATGTGAACATTTAGGGGAAAGGCAGACGCCTGTGTCTGCTGAGAGAGACCTGAGTAATCTGCCCACTCTGCCACCGTCTTGCCACCAGCACATTATCTCAACCCGCCCCTTCTGAGAGCGCCAGCACTCACTCCAACCGCGCCCTCGCCTCTAGCCCGCTCCCCCCGCGCCCCTCCACAGTGCCCCGCCTCTCTTAGTCCCTCCCCTTGCTCGGCTTCGGGGCGCGACTTACCCGCGGTGCACGGTGGGGCTTTCGCCTTGGTCAAGCCACACCCTCAACGGCCCAGAGGACGTGTGGAAGTGCAGTGGTTACGGCATGCGCCTGGCTTCCGCACCGTCTTCGTTCTTTGCGAGCCCGGACTACTACGAGAGGCTGGGCCACCTCCAACGTGGGCTGCGGGAGAGGTAGGGCCTATCTGAGCGGGGGCGGGGACTCGGCGTGCTGTTGCCCTACCCCCTTTGCCTTTGCCGTCTCCAACCCGTGGTTCCCTTGGGCCCGGGGCTGCCCGCGACGCCCCCAGGCTCTGGGTGGGGCCTGGAGGACAAAGTTTACCGGAGATAACCTCATTTACGGGAGGTCTCCCGCTGGAGGATGCGGCCGCATCTCTGAATTTGCCCAGAAGTGATAGTGGGAGTTTTCCTTCCTGTCATTCTCAATCAACCTTGTGGATTTCTCTAATACCCATTTACACGTCTTCTCCCCAGTCTCTTTTAAAATTGTCATCCACCCTGACAGCTACACTGCATCATTGATGACAGGTCCAGGAACTCGCGTGCGCCCGTGTGTGTGTGTGTGTGTGTGTGTGTGTGTGTGTGTGTGTGTGAGAGAGAGAGAGAGAGAGAGAGAGAGAGAGAGAGAGAGAGAGAGAGAGAGAAATGTGTCCTGTTTAAATACAGAAGACTTTGGGGGCCAGATTTCCATCACAAGGATGAGGTTTCCAGCGAAAGAAGTCCAGATTCCAGAGGGCTCATTGTACCTTGATTAATAACTTGATTAAGACATGAAAGATGAGAACCACTGAAAAGATCTAAGAGCATGTAAATGGAGAAAATTATAAAGTAATTTACTATACATAACCACATAAAAGATAAGTTGTTGGAATTATTTATTTAGCTGCTAAATTAATTGAAATTAGAAATCTCATTAGTTGACAAGAAAGGAAATAGATTTTTGGATCTACTGATAAAATGTTAAATGAGTGTTAAAAGTTACAAAGTCATTTTAGTGAAGAGATCAACTGTGTGTGTGACAATTCTAAAATGACAACAATTACATGTACAGTAAAGGCAGAAGCAAGTGGTTTTTTGAAAGGAATTATATTCATCTTATGCTAGCTTTAATTTTTGTCATATATTTATAGAACATCTACATAGGCTGTTTTAATTGTCTTAAATATTTTTTACCTCTAAATCTTTTTCTACATCCTATTTTCTTTCTGACATGCCACTACTCACCCACCTTAGTGACCTCCTCACCTCCAACTTCTAAAAAATCACTTTGTGAAGTTCATCCCCTGTGCCAAGTATTGACAACCCATTTCCTAACTTATGTGACTTTGGATTCTTACAGCACTCTATCAGGGGTGTGAACGTCATTTTCACTGGGGGCCATGTCAGCCTCAGGGTTGCCAAAATAATTTTAAATTATTGCATAAATGTACCTATTCCTTAACTGTTAAGGAGTTGAAATTACATTCAGCCCTTTGAAGGCAACCGTGAGCTGACCTGGCCCCCAGTGAAAATGAGTTCCACACCACTGCTGTAGATAATGGCTTAAGGGACTTGCTCCCTCCCTAGACTGAGAATTCCAGGAGAATGGGAACCATATCTAGCTGTATCCTTTAACTACTGATAGAGTACCTGGCATAAGGAAGGGCTTGAAAAATGTTTGCTGAATGAATGGAAGGAATCCCAAAGTCAACCAGCTGGTGTCCAGGAGTTACGGATGTCTTATATAGAACCCAGTACCCACACATTGTCCCTATATAATGACTTTTTTTCCAGTCAGCCAGGAAAAGTGGTCAGGGTGATATTTCAAAGATGGTATTAAGTGTCTGCACATATCTGACAATTGAGAAAAGGCTCTGTACATTAGTATACTTACTTTTTGACTCTGTTCTGGTAAAAGAATAGCTAAGTTACCCCAGGCTTTTAGTTATTTGTTTCTTTTTTTTTTAAGATTTTATTTATTTATTTTTAGAGAGGAAAGGGAGGGAGATAGAGAGAGAAACATCAATGTGCGGTTGCTGGGGGTTATGGCCTGCAACCCAGGCATGTGCCCTGGCTGGGAATCGAACCTGCGACATTTTGGTTTGCAGCCTGCACTCAATCCACTGAGCTACGCCAGCCAGGGCAGTTATTTGTTTCTTGTAGCCCAAGTTCTAATTGCAAAATGTTACTGGTTCAGATTGCATTCTTTTTGAACTAAGTTAATTGTGAGTTATCATTTTTGTACTCTGAGCTAGAACACCTGGCTGTTTACAGTCCTTATACTATAACTATGTAATTATTATTGCTTACTTTATGTTTAAACAGTTAATATTTTAACTATTAAGCAAGGTGAAGCTGTTAAAATTATGTTGAGAATTTGAGTCAAATTGTATAACCTATTCATGGTTCTGGAATTTAGAGGTATAAAGTAAACTGTTTTGCACTGAATAAACCTATTCATGGTTCTGGAATTTAGAGGTATAAAGTAAGCTGTTTTGCACTGAATAAAGTTTCCTTCTTCACCACCCCAAATTAGGGATACCTGTTGGCATTTAATCTGTGCCATGACCATCAGCTGATGTTATCTACTGAAAGCTGAGTAGAAGTAAAGTTTGATGTCATTATTAAAAAGAACTTGCTGCTTGGGAGCCAATGAATTCCCAGACTGTGGTCCTTTTACACTAGAAGTCAGGTGAACATTTTACATTATGTTGAAGTGAGTTCAAGTTTACAGAAAAGTTACAAGTGTTAGACAAAGACATTTAATATTCCCCTTACCCAGGTTACTCAGCTCTTAACATTTTGTTACATTTTCTTTTTCTCTGTCTGTCTACCTATCTATCTGAAATTATTAGTCATGGGGATGTAAAGTACAGGATAGATAATATAATCAATAATATTCTAATAACTGTGTGTGGTGTCCAATGGGTATGAGATTTATCAGGATGATCACTTAGAAGGTTATATAATGTCTAATCACTGTGGTGTACACCTGAAACTAATATAATATTGTATATCAATAATAATTGACAAAATAAAAAAGTGATTAAAACTTATTACTCTTTTCTGAGTCATTTGAGAATTACAGGTATGATGCCCCATTACTCCCAAATGCTTTAATGTATATATCCCCAAAACATGGATGCTCTCTTACATGATCATCATATAGCTTTCCCAGTCAGGAAATCAACAATGATATACCAGTCCACAGACCCCAATCAAATTTCACCAACTGTCCATTTTACCAATTGTCCTAACACCTGTCTTTTTTCTTTTCTGGTATAGAATCCCATCTGTGAACCCATGTTCAATGTGGTTGCCATGCCTGTGCAATCTCTCCTAGTCTCTCTCAGTATTTTCCTGTCTTTCATGTTCCTGACAGTTTCATAGAGTATAACTTTCATTCCAGAGGGTGATCCTCAAACTGGGTCCACCTGATGTTTCCTCATGACCAGACTCTGGCCATACCTTCTTGGCAGGAATGCCACAAAAATGAAGTATGACACCAGGGCACAAGGACATAGATGCATTTAAGGGTCCTTTTGTCCTCAAAACTTAATGACAAATTGCTTACACTGTCCAGTCATTCATTCTTCATGAATTAAGTATCCTTTTGATCATTGAACCTTAGAAGGGGGAAAAGTGACTAATAAAATTTCCTAACATGGAAGTAAATATACCATATTTTGTTCATGTCTCTTCTAAGTTCATTCTTATTAATGAGAAAGATCTGTGAGAAGCTATTAATTTTAAAAATTGTGTTCCTATAATTTTTTTTCCTTTTAATCTTTTACCCTTTTTTAACCTAGACATACCCCAACTAAGGAACAGATAGTTTTATCCATGCAAAGATTTGGTGTTTGACTTTTGTACCCCATTTTCTCATTAAAAGAATTTTGGTTAAATTGTGCTAAACAAAGAACTTTATCCTATAATTTAGTTAACAGAGTAAATTTGGGGCTTTTTTGTAAAGGAAAATAATATTTGAAGGAAAACAGAAACTAAGAGCTCACAAATGGAAGGTGGTCTCAGTCCCTCTCCCTCAGGAGACCAACCTGAGCTTACTTTCTGTTTGGACTTCTTGTCTTTGATTCATAGTATTTTTCTCTCAGACATTTTGTGATTTCTCTTTCAGCCTTTAGTTACTGTTAACTTAGATGAGCAATGTAACTTCCATTAGACAAGACTGAAGCTGGTACTTTGGTGGTGGTTAAGCAGAGCCCTCCGAGGGTAAATTTCCCAAGGATGGGGATGGCTTCCCATTCAGCAGTTTTACCCCCTTAGTCCTTTGATTTTGGTTGCAGCCCCCTCTTCTGCTGTCATTTTCCCCCACCTTTTATCCAGTCTGGGTGTACGGTGTAAGCTTTCTCCTAGTCTACAGCGCTCACTTGAACATCAAGGCTAAATCTTTACTAGTAGTAGCTGCAGAGAATAGCAGTTAGTAACAAATCATAATGATTTTACAAAGTTATAAAAAGAAATTCCTCCAGCCCTGGCTGGTATAGCTCAGTGAATTGAGCACCTGCCTGTGGACCAAAGGGTTGTTGGTTTGATTCCCATTCAGGGCACATGCCTGGCTTGCAGGCCAGTTCCCCAGTAGGGGGCATTTGAGAGATAACCACATAGTGATATTTCTCTCTCTCTCTCCTTCCCTTCCCCTCTCTCTACAAATAAATAAATAAAATCTAAAAAAAAAGAGAAATTCCTCCAGATTTGAAGTAATATTGTTAAGGGCCCTGGTCTTCATTAAATGTCTGTGAGATCAGTTTTACTTTTCAGAGACCTATTTCTGACTCAGCCAGTCAGCTCTGCCCAAGCTTAACTTGTTAGCAGCAGAGCAAGCCACCAGTCTTTAGTCCAAGGTGGATTTTGTGGAAGCATCATGTCCAGTCCTGATGGAACCTCCGTTGCTTAAGTGCCAACATCTCAGAGAAGTCTAGCCATATTGTATTTTACATATTTATCTGTTTATTGTCTGTCCTTCCCCCTAGAATGTCAGCTGCCTGATGACAACAGAGTTCTTGGTTGTCTTGCTCACTGTATTAGTCTCTAGGCCTAGAACTCTGCTTGGCTCATCATAGCATGCAAGAAATAGTTGCTGAATGAATGAACCTGGTTCTCAGCTTTTTGGTTAAGGTGTTTTCCCATTTACTTTGAGAATCTTGTTCTTTTTGCTTTGTATTGGGTCCTCTTTGCTTTTCAGATATCCCTGGTGACTGCTAAGTATATTTGTGTCTTGAGGTTCAAACACAGCTGGCATTTTCTGCTCCTTAGATAGGCCAGAGAAGCATTCTTACAAAAGTGTGATTTTAGAAGAGATCATATTCTAAATTTGACAGCCTATTACTTATCAGTGTAGTTATTCATAAAATATTTTCTTTCTGTACTATAGTGAAAAGAAGAGATTGGACCTGGAAAAGAAACTTTATGAGTATAGTCAGTCTGATATATGCAGGTAAGATATGCCAGTGGTAATAGTTTTTAAGCCACTTTGCATATGTTAATAAAAATTTAACCCTAATATGTTGTAAATGCCATAGTTGTAGTACTTTTAGCACTTTTACTCTTTATGTATAATAGTTTCAAGTAAACACTGCAATTTAATGACTATCAAATGTAAGAATAAATTTGATTAAAATTAGTACAAGGAAAAAATTTTTTTTGTTATTTGGTATTTGTATTATTTCAGGAATCTTTTGCTTAATAGCTTAAGAATAAGACATGTTATAGTCTGCTATCTTTTTGGTCACCAGTTAAACCCATTAAGTCTGTATAGTGATTAAGGCATAATTATACTGTACTGACCTTTCAACAAACTATTGTAGGTAGGGTTACATAGTGTTTCACTTGTGCATGGATATATGACAATGAATGTTAAAATTATCATGGACAGTAGATAATATACATATTATTCCATTTCAGTTACTTTAATATTAAGAGCAAACTTTTAATATCTTTAATTCTATTTTATGGGAACTTAACTTCATCCTTAAGCCAAATGTATGGTTTTACCTCCAGTATTATTTATATGAATAATTTCTGGCTATGATTATACTAAAGTTGTGCTTTATCCATATCATAATATGAGTGAAAAATGAAAATGTCTTACCCAGAAGGGAGAGAAGCTAAAAATACTTTAAAATCTAATCACCCATTAGATCCATTCACTTCTTGATCTTCAAAATTATTCTTTGGTTTTAAGATTTAATATACTTCCAAAGGTACCAGTCAGGGAGGATAGCCATAAGTCTCTGGGCTCTAGAGGAGACGAGAAGAGTCAACAGGATGATGAAAATGTTGTGGATGCTATGGCCTCAGAAGTGGGCCCAAGTCTTAGAGGATCCTTGGCAGTTGCTATTTTTCTAACCCACAGCTAAAGGGACAGAAGACAGAGTATAGAGTTTTCCTGTAGCCTTTTCTTGGACAACTTCCTGACATAATGATGGTGAGAGCAGAATGGGAACCTTTACCAAGCTATCAGTTTTCTGAGTTTGTTCTATCAGCCTCTTTTTTTCCTGTTAGACAGAGGGTATGATTTGCTAAAAATATGCTTTCTTTGACTGCCTGTAGGGTAAAATCCAAACTGTCTTACATGGCTGTCTTCAACCTGGTTATCTCAGAAGGCAGAGTCTGAGAAAAGGGTTTGTATGTAGGTGGTAGGGTTTCTTTTTTTTTTTTCCCTGTAGGTATAGTAGTAGGTTGTTTTAAGAAGTGGTTGCATAACACTAGAAAGCAGGGCTGGCAAGAATGAAGTAGGAGCTGGTCACTTCTATGGGCACCTAGAACTTGACACCTCTGGACCTGCAGAGGAGCAGTGTAGACTGCTTCTCAGCTCCTTACAAGTGTGCACTCAAGGAAAGGAAGAGGCGGCTGTTCACCTCTTGGTTTCTGACTCCATTGATCAGGGCTGTTGCAGGGGATGTTAACTCCTTCTCATATCCAGGCTTTCTATGTTGCAAATTCAGAAAAGCAGCCCTGGGAAAGCAAGATACCAGGTGCGGCTGAGGCAGGGGCTATTGGGTTGCTGCAGCAGTGGCTGGTAGAAGTAAAGGTGGGTCAGGAGGATATGAGGAGGACATGAGAAGTATTTGGTACAAGGGCTTACCAGAATCGCCATTATCTGCCCCTGTTTAATTTTCATCATTACCATCTTTTGCCAACCTCCCCCTAAAATTTTACATGGACTAAAACTTCAGTTTCTGAAGCATGGTAGGATCTTTTGTAATATAGTGTAAGCAGATAGGTTTTGTTGCCAAGTTTCTTGATTTAGTCCCACCATCTCTTAGCCATATGACCTTGGGACTATTATTAGGTCAACATTCTGTCTCTATTTTTCATCTGTCAAATGGGGGTAATGATAGTTATGAGAACTTAATAGAGTCTTAACGCAAAGTAAGAGTTGATAACTTATTATTATTTTTGTCAATATCACTGTTATTCTTACTTATTGCCTTTGAGCTTTCCATGATGCTACTTCCCCTGTCTGAATGTTTTCCCCTCAACTCTTTACTCTTGCTTTCCCCAATTTTGGGTTAATTCATACCCAACCTTCATGTCTCAGCTGAAAGATAATTTCTACTGGGAAGGCATCCATGACCCCTTCAACTAGGTCTGGTTGCCTAGTTTTGTCAGAGTCCCTTGCAGTTTCCCACAAGGGACTATGTTTTACTTATCCCTTTTTTTGTTTTCCCTGTTGACCTAGCTGAGTGGCTTTCATGTTCAAAGCACTGAATATATGAATGATTGCATGGATGGATAACTTACTTATGTGGTCAGCTTTGAAGGCTAATGTAGGGAGGGGCAGGAATGAAACTAGACTTTGGATGGAGAAGGTATTGGTTACTATTATACCTACTCTAGGTTTAGACTGGCCACCACCAGCAGCTTTACCGAGTACTTGCCTGTGAAAGACGGTGTATTAGGTTCTACCCCATTCCTGTTGCTTATGCTGAAAATAGCAGACATGGGTAGCGGTAAAACCAGTCTTAAGTTTTTTGTACATAGAAAAATGGAGACAGCCAACTAAGATCAAAGCATGGAATTATTAGCATAATAAAGAATTTTTAAAAAACTATTGGCGTAGTTGTAGAAGTTTAAAATCTGTTAGAGATTAATTTTTACTATCTTCAGCATCTTTGGAAATCTGTTTTTGAGGGTGAACATTTTTGTGGTTTTCAACTTATTTTTGATTGATAAAAGAATACTGAATAATTTACTGAATAAACAATAGAAATGCTATAGATATTCTTATAACTTAGGTACTTGTGAAAAACAGCAACCTAGAATTAGCAGTGTTGGCTCTATGAGAAGAATGGGCTGCACATCTTGGGTCTTTTGATACTACACTTTGGTATAGAATTCCTAAAGGTTTTTTTTTTTTTTACAAAAGAAGACTGGGTAGTTACACTTTATATGTTGTTTTTAAAATATTTTAATAATATAGTGTGCTGCTGCAATTTCTAACAAAATTTTTAAATTATATCTAAAATGAGAGTTTTTCATTTTAAATTTCAAATTTTCTTCATGTGTGTGGATTGAGGTTTGACCTCCTTTATAAGAGCAGGTAGTTTTGAGATTGTCATTTAAAAAGAATGCTAATGGGCTTTTCCTCTGAACATGGCCACATAGACACTACTCTTAGAATCACATTTAATTTTGAGAAAGAAATCCCTAAAAGTCTTTACTGTTTGAATGTTATAATGTGGTCTTGTATATATTTCTCAGGAGAGTTATGCCTAGATGTGATACCTCAGTGATGTTGCATTAATTTCCTCTCTTTAAAAATGCATATATATTCTGTCCTTTAGTTTTAGTGTTTGGGTAAAATATATTAGAATATATTGTCTCACTAAAAATTTTGTTAAAGAAAATTCTTCTAAATTACTAAATGTTAAGCTTAGTGCTCAACTATTGCAAGAAATATTTAATTACAGTGGAGCAGTTCATGAATTAATCCTCAGAAATGGACTAGAAGAAAAATATTTCTTTCCTAGTTTCACTTTGTGTATTTCACAAGGTTGTGCTAAATAAATGTGTGTTATGTTTTTTCCACCAAAATAGAATGCAATAAACATCTTCAATTTTAAAAAAAGAAAGTTCTTAAGTTGTCAAAATCTGACTTCATTGTTTAAAAACCTGCTTTTATTTTTCTAGAGTTAAGTTGAAGTATGTAAAGCTAAAGAAATACCTCAAGGAAATATGTGAGTCAGAAAAGAAGGCTCATACTCGAAACAAAGAATATTTAAAGCAGTTGGAGTGTATCCAAGCTCATGTTGGACACTTTACCACAAATACAGAGAAGCTTCAAGAACTGAAGGTGACATCTTGCTTTGTACTTTGTCTTTTTTAATCCTTTTTTGCTAAAATTAGAAATAACGAGCAGTAAGTTTCAGATCAGTGGCAGTCAAAATGTTCAGTTGTTCATCTATAAGATTATCAGTTTTCTTTATGAATTATCACATGGCCAGATTTTGATCAGAGAACTTGAAATTGCATTTTCTCAGATTCCTACTTGAGTTGAGCAATTAATGGAATATCTGTACTTTGTTGTACTATAAAATTTTTAACTTAAAACAGGCACATGTATCACTCCCCACTACCTGGCATATAGTATCTGTTGGTCCCATGGTTGAGCATGGACAGCATTAGAGTTCCTATAGAGATTTCTTTTTTTTTTTTTTTAAAGATTTTATTTATTTATTTTCAGAGAGGGAAGGGAGAGAGAGAGAGAGAGAGAGAGAGAGAGAGAGAGAGAGAGAGAGAGAGAGAGAGAAACATCAATGTGCGGTTGCTGGGGGTTATGGCCTGCAACCCAGGTATGTACCCTGGCTGGGAATCGAACCTGGGACACTTTGGTTCCCAGCCCGCGCTCCATCCACTGAGCTACGCCAGCCAGGGCTGAGATTTCTTTTTTAAATGATTCTTTTCCTATGGTAGGGACCCTCTGTTTTAGTCAGGCAGTGTGTTGAGGGAAGAATGAAGGGATAGAACTGGCCCTGAGGAGTTCACCTTCATGCTCCTTGTCTTGTGCCCCAGAGCAACTGCTCTTAGTACCTTCTCTAATTCTGGTGTTCCATTCCCTTATGGTGCTTGGTAACCTTGTGCTCTACAAATTATGCCAAGCATGGAGGCCTAGGCCTTTTTTCTTGCCATTTGTTTTGGTCAGGGTTTGTTGCCCAAGTCAACTCAACTGGGTACTGGTTACAGGAGAAGTGGCTTCAATATTTCCCTTTCCTTTTTTCTGTAGCAATGTTCTCCCCTACCTTTTATTATAAAAATCTCCAGGACACAGAAAAGTTAAAAGAATTATGCTGACAAATATTCATGCTATGGCCCGAAGTGATGATATTAGTAGGTGGGGTCTTTGAGAGGTGCTTAAATAATGAGAGTGGAACTTTCATAAATGGGATTGGTGCCTTATAAAAGAGGCTCCAGAGATATCCCAGTCCCTTCCACCATGTAAGGACACAGTTAGAAGGCGGTGGCTGTGAACCAGAAAGAGGGCCCTTACCAGGTGACCATGCTGGTACATGGATCTGGGACTTCCCATCCTCCAGAACTGTGAGCTATACATTTCTGTTGTTTGTAACCCACTAGCCACTAGTGTTTTGTTATAGCAGCTGAATGGACTAAAACAACTCCTAAACTCTAGATGCAGTAGTTGTAAATATTTTGCCATATTTGCTATGTGTGTGTGTGTATTTTTGAAAGTATGGTGCAGACACCATAACACTTTTCCCCTAAGAGGCGGTCTCCTACATAATCATAATACTATTCATTACCACACCTAAGATAATTAATAATGATTCCATAATATCACTTAATATCTAGTTGATACTCCAATTTCCTCAGTTCCAGACCAGGAGCCAACTATGTTTCACACATTACATTTGGTTATTGTGTCTTTTTGGTGTTTTACTCTGATTCAGTCTGACATCACTCTTCCTATTTCTTTTCCCCCAGTAATACTGACTTTTTGAAGAAAGTAGGCTTACAGAATGCCTCATATTCTGAATTTAACTGGTTATTTCTTTGAGGTTTCATTTTGCTTGTATGTGTTCATTATGTGCCATTGAGTTGGCTACAACCCCTGATGATACTATGAGTATTGTCCAAAATGCCCTGTCATCAAAAACCCTTCTCAGCCTCTGTACACTCATACCTATCACTTCTTTTATGTAGTTAATCCATCTGGATTTTATCTTCCTCTTTTCCTGCTGCTGTCTATGTTCTCCAGCATTATTGTCTTTTCTGAAGAGCTCTACCTTCTCATGAAGTTGTATAGCAACTATCTTAACTTACATAGCAACCTCTATACTTCCTTTAAACTGGAAATTCAGTCTAAACCAGCACTGCCTAATAGAACTTTCTGGAGTGATGGGAATGTTCACTATATACTGATGTTGTCCAACACAGTAGCCACTGGCCATACTGGGCAATTGAACATTTAAAATGTGACTCTGAGGGCTGAATTTTTGTTTAATCCCATCCCATCCCATCCCCTCCAGCCCTCCCCACTTCCTTCCCATTTCCAACCCCCCCTAGTATTTGTCCATGTGTCCTTTATACTTGTTCCTGTAAACCCTTCCACTTTTCCCCTGAAACTGAGGAATGAATTTTTAGTTAATTAAATGCTCACACCTGAGATTATATTCTTCCTACTGCATCCAATTAGGAGGCAAATCATTTATGATGTCAGGCGGTCTTACCTAAGAGAAGCTGAGTTTGATTCCTTGGTTAAGATGATGATCTCTAGATCTCTCTATTGTAAGGTACTTTTTTCCTTTGTAAAGTAGTAAATAAATCTATGGGATGATGGTTTGACATCTTGGAAATATCTTATTCCTCAACAACCTTTTACCTAGTAGTTTTAGGATTCATTAATAATGCCTGCATCAGTCATATGGGAGATTTTGAAATGATGATTTTTTTATTTTATCTTCTACCTCTATAATTATTGATTTCTTATTATACTCAAATGTGAAAGGGAAGAATTTGAAGGGAATAATACCCTTTATAAATATTTTTTATATTGACAGCATCTGTTGTATATAAAAGGATATGAAAAAACTTATATAATGAGTTACTAAAGAATAACAGTATAGGGAACCATAAAGAAAACAGTATTAAAATAAAAAGAGAACCAACTGTATGGGAAAACATATTTGCCAATGATACCTCAGACAAGGGTTTAATCTCCAAAATATATAAAGAACTTACACAACTCCACACCAGGAAGACAAGCAACCCAATTGAAAAAAGGGCAAAGGACTTGAACAGACATTTCTCCAAGGAGGACATACAGAGGATCCAGAGACACATGAAAAGATGCTCAGTGTTAGTAGCTATCAGAGAAATGCAAATTAAAACCACAATGAGATACCACTTCACACCAGTCAGAAAGGCCATCATAAACAAAGCAACAAACAACAAGTGTTGGACAGGTTGTGGAGGAAAAGGGAGCCTAGTGCACGGTTGGTGGGATTGCAGACTGGTACAACCACTATGGAAAACAGTATGGAATTTTCTCAGAAAACTAAAAATGGATCTGCCTTTTGACCCAGCAATTCCATTGCTGGGATTATATCCTAAGAACCCTGAAACACCAATCCAAAAGAACCTATGCACTCCAACCTTCATAGCAGCACAATTTACAATAGCCAAGTGTTGGAAGCAACCTAGGTGTCCATCAGTAAATGAATGGGTCAAAAAACTATAGTACATTTGCATAATGGAATTCTATGCAGCAGAAAGAAAGAAAGAAGGAGCTTCTACCCTTTGGGACATCATGGATGGAACTGGAATGCATTATGGTAAGCAAAATAAGCCAGGCAGTGAAAGACAAATACCATATGATCTCATGTTTAACAGGAACCTAGTCAACAAAACAAACAAAGAAGCAAAATATAACCAAAGACACTGAAATAGAGAATAGGCTGACAGTGACCAGAGGGGAGGGGAGAGGGAATTTCAGGGGAAAAGGGGAACAAGGAACAAGTTTACAGAACCAAGTATAAAAGACACATGGACAAAAACTAGGGGGGAATGGAAATGGGAGGAAGGTGGGGAGGGCTGGGGGGAGTGGGCTGTGATGAGAGTAAACGACAGAAAACTGTATTTGAACAACAATTCAAATAAAAATTTTAAAAAAGGATAAATTATATTTATAGGAATATGTAAAGCTTTATTCATTAACATGGTTCAGAAATTACATAGATGTTACTTTTTAAATTTTGGATAAAGAATGCCTTTTAAAAAAATCTGCTGATAGCAAAAAAGAACAGATCATGTAGCTGCAATTGGGAGAGATGTTGAGTTCCATGGAGAACTGTATTTGGCAGTAACTCTAAGTCCACATGCTTTATGTGTGTTCATGAAACCAGACATTGGCACCACTTAAGTAAGCAAGCTGTGCAGTAGGCAGAGTTTCAGAGTAGAGGAGGTTTGCCTCTGGTGTCTTCCAGTCTCTTTCGGGTTCTTCCTTTTCTGCCACTCTTCAGTGGAATCCCTAGGAATATGCCAGAACCACTAGTGTCTTCTTAATCCTGCTCAACACAGGTATCAGATCTTCACCTCCTTTACTGACTGACCTCAGATAAGTCTCAGTAGAAAGATGTTATGATTAAACATGTTTATAGTGTATTGCCCACACACCTCAACATGCCGGAGGTAGGATATTTCTTCTTGAATATAGGTAATGCCAATGATCTTCTAGGTAATTGGTAGAATTCCTGAAAGTGAAACAAAATGAAGTGTGGGAGAAGTGGGGATTTGCCCAAATTATTTAATGTGAATTTCTCTCTCTTTGTAAGACTGGACTGACTTTATTATATAATATTGAAAAATTTTAAGTGGACTAAAAGCATAAGAAACTGTTCAACTGATTCTATGAATTATACTACTTTATTTGTGGGGCCTGTAATAATTTTCAGGGCTTTTTAAGGCTATCAATCTGTCATGTAACTTTGAAAATAAAATGTTGTGACTATATTGCCAAAGAGGCTGAATAAACTCAGCTCAAGTATGTAAATAGTAATATTAGTAATGCTATGAAGACTGTCCTTCTCCCCCTTTCTGTCCCCCTGCTTCCTGAAGTAGCAACTTTTATAGAGGAAACCCAAGTTGGTCCTTAGAACAGTTTTCCTTGGGTGCCATTTGCCCTTGTCTGAGATTGGGTTCTCCCCAATGTTTATCCTGAGACAGGGGTTTAAATATAAATGGATAGTTTGGGAAGTGCAAGGAATGTCAGTGACAGGTGGGGAAGTGAGTCTGGGAAGCACAGGTAACTGAAACTACCACAATTGGCACCTCCCAATTGGAAATGGCAAATGGTTCAAAGCATATGGGATATGCATACTCTGGCTTCCAAGTGTAATTGATGGAGGACTAATAGGGGAGGAGTGAAGTGGTGGAAAATTAACCACCTGCTCCTGTGGGCAGAGCAGCCTCCCCAGGAACCTTAGGCACAGAGACAGGGATTCTGGAGCTTTGGAGCACCCAGAAGGGTCCTGGGGACCTGCATGGAGCATTGCCAGCATCTGCTTTAGCCTCCCACATTCCAGTGTCAGGCATGGGGCTGACATGTCAGGGTACTCAAGGAAGGTCCCCAAGCAGGGAGGTCACCACCTGGTTATATCTCTCTTCTGCCTGAAATCTTCGAGTCTTCAGCCTTTTCAAGACAAAAATCCAGAGGCTAGTCTCTGCCTGCATACCAACCCACAGATTCAACTCCTGAGACACACGTGCACACATGCTCTCTCAGTCTCTCTCAAACAAATGTAGACATATGCACATTTTTGTCCCCAACCTGTCTCCTTCCATCTTCTCCCTCCATTTCCATCACTTTCTCCTATCTCTGCCTTCTCCCCTATTATGGTCTCCCTCTATTCCCAACTCCCACTGATCTCCCATTCCTATCTCTTCCATATCCCCCACCTCTTCTCTCTTCCAACCCCATGTCTTCCCACTGTCTCTCTATATATTTATCTCCCACACATGTGTGTACTCTCTTTTATGCATACTCATTCACTCACTCGCACCACCCACAGAATTTTAAACATGCTAAACAATTTGCATTTCCTTGAAAGTACCACATTATCCCCTATATCTTTCAACTAGAAGGCCTCTCTCCCTCTATCCTGCCTTAGGTCTGTGTTGTAGTTATCTCAGTAAGCACTGCCTTTGTGGTATTATGATTGATTATGAGTCTGTTTTTCCACCTCACTATGAGCTCCTTGTCATTATTTTTGTACTCAGTATCTGACCCAGAATGTGGCATATAATAAGCACTCAGTAAGCGTTGAAACTCTCCCCTTGATTGAAAATTAATTCTTCCATGTTTTTTGTCTTGTTCTTTTATGGACCATGAACAACTATGTAAAAACTAATGTGGTATTGATTGTACTCTGTGTTATACCTTCCAAGGGCATTTGTGCTTAATAGCAGAGACATTCTGAAGATATAATATCATTATTTAAAGATGTGATTCTTGAGGAAAATTCAGTCATTAGGTTATTTGTGCCTGTAGGGGATAAAATTTGAGGCAAACAAATCTTTTGAGCTCTCATTCAATTCCTACTAAGTGTTGTGACAGCCACTGTGGGCAGAGCATGACCTTCAGCTTCCTGGATGACAAAGTCTATAGGAAATCCTGTTTTTTAATAATGAAAGTGTCTTTCCCACTAATATGAACTAGTTTAATAAATAAGTGTTCCACAAAGAATTTTTGCTTAATATAGGATTACTTAATAAACCTTTGTTTATTTGGTAGTCTACCTCTCATCCCTTTTTAAAGATACTTTGCCTTGGAATCTGGAAAATATGCCTGTCAAAAGTTCTTGGAGCTAAAAATTAAATATTTCTGAGTTCAAAGGAGTAGATATGAAATAGATGTAAAATGTATTTTCATAATTACCTGTTTCTGTATTTTTTGCTTGATTTTATTGTTTGTTCTGGCCTTCTAAAACTTTTATTTCATTCAGAATTCAGTATCTATTTAGGTCCTTACTGCCAGGTATCATGTTAATAACATTCTGATAGAGAAAACAAAAATTCCTGCTTAACTTATTAAAAATGGGGTAGCATATAATACCTTTTAAGATATTTTGAGGGAAACAAGTCAATTTTGGTTATTATTATCTGTTCAGGTTTTGTGTGTCAAAACAAAGCCCACATCTATTTTAAGTTCAGACTGAGAACTAAGGAAGCAGTTTTCTAAATTGCTAATCTCATAGATATGTTTCTAATTGCAGTGCATTACCGCCTAATTTAGAAAATAATCTGATGCTTACCTGTGATGGACCTCATTCAGTGACTTTTTTAGGCTTTAATTATTTAACATGCTAAGTCAAAGTGATTTTTTATGCTTTGCTTTTAAGAAAAAGTCATTTTATGATGGAATCACTTTAATTAATTATAGTGGGCTAATGATACAGATATTTTAAAGTAGTTATTAGTGCCAGAGCAAACTTGATTCCTATGGTTACTGATGTCTACAGTGTATTTTTATTCATAGAAAATAGAATTTGTGTTAAGTTGATGATCTAGCAAATAATTTACTCCATTGTTGTAACTGGGAGGACCATGATTATTATGTAGATATCATACAAATAAGAAGTCAATAAGATTGATTTCCTTTGTTTAGGACAAAACTTTTCTGAGAAAATAACATTTGATGTGTTACTTTCATAATAAAGTAACTGGATTTTTATGATAGCTTAGTATATCAAGGTTTTACTCCCTGAACTAATGAAAGACTAAGTAAAAATCCATTGAATCTTATTTTATTTAAAAACATATAACACTTTATAGAATTCAGTTTTTTATACATTTTGTTTGTAAAATTGTTTATCTTCTAAGATAAGTTGAATTTCTCAGCAATATTAGTTTTACTTTCTACTTCACTGTTCCTTTTATTCTATAAAGACTAAAAATATAGAGAGGTGCTAGTTGTAATTTTATCAATGACAAAATCAAACTTTGTTTATATTTAGATTGAGTATGAGACTCAAATTAAGGAGATGCAGCTACTCTCAAAAGGTAGCAAAAGGTGAGCCAAAAAATGAAGACAGAGAAAAATTAATAAATTGAAATGATAAACGTTCTGTCAACAGAGGATTTTTGGAGTGTTCATTTTTTAAGATATTCTTTTTAAAAAGCATCTTATTACAAAGATATTTTTTATTAAACCTTAAGTGATTATTTAAAAACTGTTGCTTATAGAGTATTGCTTTAATGTGTAAATCAATCAAATTAGCTGAAAGGCAGTGACTGTGGGTGTAAAAGAGAGAGATTCCAAAGAAAACCTGTGTTGTTAGCAGTTAAAATTGTGTTTTCCTAAATAATGTTTTGTAGCTGCTCTTTACCTTATTTTCAAAACTACATTAAGTGAAAAATAAATAAAATGTGGCATTTTGCTTCTTTTTTCATATATATAATTTTGTACATTTTTAACCTTTTCACAGATAAAGTGAAAAGAAAGGACTGCATATCTAAGCAACAGACAAGACTGGAAAGGAATACTTAAATGAATTCTGCTATGTATCTGCCATAATGCAGGCTTCTAATCCTCCCGCCTATCTCCATATAAATGATTCTGTTCAAGACCATAGGTGTTTTCTTCACTAAAAGCAGTAAAGCTCTTTTAGATGAAATGTCTAAAAACATCTTGTAATAACTTGGAGCATGCTGGCAAGAGTAGTCACTTGTGACTATGTGTGAAACCCCCTCAGCCAGTTGATATTGTAATAAGCAAAAATGGTAGCATCACTCCATTATTCAGAAAAAGCCAACAGCGTGCTTGTTCCTTAGGCTGCAGCATTCATTAAGAAAAGCTTATAGGGCTGAAAGCTGGAAACAGATGATAACGGGATATGATTTTCATATTTAATGCTTTCCTTGGAAGAGTATGTGTGCTACAGATTGATAGAAGAATCAACTGCTACTTTACTAAAAGACTTTCAGGTTTGCCCTCTAGCTACCGATGGAATCATTCAGCCAAGAAATTAACTTTTTCTTCTTTTACCTGCTTTATATATCTGCTAAGCAGGCTGCCTGGCTGCCAGTATATGTTATTATGCAGTTAACTGTTTGGTATTTAAGACTCTTATCAGAAAAGAAACAGAGGCCACACTATTTTGTTTTTATAGATGGAGGAAGGTTTTAGTTTTTCTTTTTATTTCTATGCACTAGTAGGCATTAATATAAGTTTATAGGAAGTTTCCGTTTTCCTGCCCAAAGATTACAAAGTTAAAAACCACCTAGAATTCAGAATATTTTTTAATCCTTAAAATACAAAACATTAAGTCTCAGCAACCTTGATCTATATTGAAAAGGCCTTCAATGATAAATTATTTCTGTGCAATTAGATGTATGCTAAATGTGTTGTGATGTGACAGACTTATACAAATCATTCAGGTGTTTTTGTGTTTGACATTTGGTCATGAAATAATTTATTTGTTTTTAATCTATAAATTTGTTCTTCCTATGCCATTCCTGATAAACACATTCTTAGTAAAGCAGTGTCAGTGGTACTTAAGTACCATGGCATAGAAATGCCATTCCTATGGCATTACTGATTCCTTGCCCTACAATTGGTTATTTAAACTTCTTTTCAGTCATATTTAAAATCAGAGAAGAGATACACAACTGACAACTTCCTAAAGTATTACATGTAATAATTAGAAGAGAAGTTTTCCTTTATACTGAAAAGTGTCATCTCCTTAAAAGCTTTGACTGCTGACTGTGTGAAAAATCAATTAGGTTGCCCTGACCAGTGAGTCTCAGTGGGTTGGGTGTTGTTCCACAAAGCCAAAGGTCACCAATTCCATTCTTGGTGGCAGGGCCCAGTCCCGACGTGGGGTACGTGTGGGAGGCAGCTCATCGATTTTTTTTTCCATTTCCCCTCCTTTATTCCCCTCCACCCTGCACCCGCATTCCTCTCCCCTTAGTTCATGTCCATGGGTTGTACATATAAGTTCTTTGGCCTCTACATTTCTTATACTATTCCTACCTCCCCTCCCCATCTATTTTGTACCTACCAGTTATGCTTCTTATTCCCTGTACCTTTTCCTCCATTTGTCCCCTTCCCCTCCCCACTGATAATTTCCATGTGATCTCCATTTCTGTGATTCCATTCCTGTTCTAGTTGTCTGCTTAATTTGTTTTTGTTATTGTTTTTTTTTTAGGTTTGGTTGTTAATAACTATGAGTTTGTTGTCATTTTACTGCTCATAGTTTGGATATTCTTCTTTTTCTTAGGTAAATCCCTTTAACATTTCATACAATATGGGCTTGGTGATGATGAACTCCTTTAACTTGACCTTATCTGGGAAGCACTTTATCTGTCCTTTCATTATAAATGAAAGCTTTGCTGGATAGAGTAATCTTGGATGTAAGTGTTTGCCTTTCATGACTTGGAATACTTATTTCCAGCCCCTTCTTGCCTGTAAGGTCTCTTGAAAAATCAGCTGACAGTCTTATGGGAACTCCTTTGTAGGTAACTGTCTCCTTTTCTCTTGCTGCTTTTAAGATTCTCTCTTTATCTTTAATTTTGGGTAATGTAATGGTGATGTGCCTTGGTGTGTGCTTCCTTCCGTCCAATGTCTTTGGGACTCTCCGAGCTTGTTGGACTCACTGGAAATCTATTTCCTTTGCCAGATTGGGGAAGTTCTCCTTCATTATTTTTTCAAATAAGTTTTCAATTTCTTTCTGTTACTCTTTTCCTTCTGACACCCCTATGATTCGGATGTTGGAATGTTTAAAGTTGTCCCAGAGGTTCCTAAGCCTCTCCTCATTTTTTTGAATTCTTGTTTTTCATTCTGTTCTGGTTGATTGTTTATTTCTTTCTTCTTGTCCAAACCATTGACTTGAGTCCCGGTTTCCTTCCCATCACTGTTGGTTCCCTGAACATTCTCCTTTTTTTCACTTTGCATAGCCCTCACTGTTTCCTCTATTTTGTGACCATACTCAACCATTTCTATGAGCATCCTGATTACCAGTGTTTTAAACTATACATCTGATAGGTTGGCTATTTCTTCATTGCTTAGTTGTATTTTTTCTGGAGCTTTTATTTGTTCTTTCATTTAGGCCATATTTTTTTTTTTGTCTCGGCATACCTGTTAAGTCATAAGGGGTGAAGCCTTAGGTATTTACCAGGGCAGGACAACCCACTTGCTGCTTAGTAATGCTGTATGTGGGGGAGGGGTCTGAGAGGGAACAATGGTGCTTGCTCAGCTCTCCACCAGCTTTCAGTTACTTCCTCCACTACCCACAATCAAATTGGGCCCTACTGGTACTGATTCCCTGGTGGGCGGGTTTGTGTACTTTCTAGGACACTTTGGGTCTCTCCGATGAACTCTCCTGTGAGGCTGGGAGTTTCTCCCACTGCCTCAACCCTCACAGATTTTTTCAGTCAAGGGTTTGATGCTTTATTTTCATGCTGGAACCCTGGTTTGCACAGTCTGTCTCACTCCCTAGTTGTTCCCCTCAGTTTATCTGCATGCAAATGTGGGACCACCTGGTCCGCCAGCTGCTGCCTTGCCTCTTGTCCTCTCCGCTCCAGCTGCTTGTCTCTGCCCTTCCTACAGGTCTCGATGAATGTTCCTTTAGCTCCTTGGTTGTCTGACTTCCATACAGTTCAAATTTCTGGCAGTTTTGGTTGGATTTTGTTTTTAAATTTGTTGTTGTTTTTCTTTTGATTGTGCAAGGAGACATAGTGTGTCTACCTACACCTCCATCTTGGCTGTAAGTCCACATCAGGGTTTCTCTCCCTGTCTTTTTCCCTCCCTACCCCTCTCTCTAAAAATAAATAAAGTCTTTTAAAAATAATTAATTAGTTAATATTTTGAGAAATTTATATCTTTCCTTTTCTGATTTCCAATTGATATACTATCAATTAAAATGTAAATACATTTTAGCAAAATCCTGAATTATGTTTTTATTATTCTATTATTCTCTATTAATTTTTCTTATTAATTACAGTTTTCCCCATTTTCTCCCCATTACTCTCCCCCATCTTAACCACCCCCACCACTAACCCTCAATCCTCCCCCAGAATGTTCTTTATCCCTGGTACTTTATACATGTTCCTTGATAACAGTTCCCCATCTTTCCCGTTACCCACTCCCCCTTCCCCTCTGGTTACTATCAATTTGTTCTTTATTTCCAAGTCTCTGGTTCTATTTTGCTCATTTATTTCTTTTGTTGATTAAGTCCACTTATAGGTGAGATCATATGGTATTTATCTTTCATTGCCTGGCTTATTTCACTTAGCATAATACTCTCTACTTCCATCCATGCTGTTGTGAAGGGTTGGGATTCCTACTTTTTTCCAGCAGTGTTGTATTCCGTTGTGTAAATGTACCATAGTTTTTTATCTATTCATTTACTCATGGACACTTAGACTGTTTCTAGCACTTGGCTTTTGTAAATTGTGCTGCAGTGAACATTGAGATACGTAGGTTCCTTCGAATTGGTGTTTCAGGATTCTTAGGGTGTAATCCCAGCAGTGGAATTACTGGTCAAAAGGCAGTTTCATTTTTAGTTTTTTGAGGAAATTCCATACTGTTTTCCACTGTGGCTGTATTAGTCTGCATTCCTACCAACAATGTACTAGCATTTCCTTTCCTCTACAACCTCGATAGCACTTATTGTTTGTAGATTTGTTTGTGATGGCCATTCTGAATAGTGTGAAGTGGTATCTCACTGTGGTTTTAATTTGCATCTCTCTGATGGCTACTGATGCTGAGCATCCTTTCATATGTCTCTGGGCCCTCTTTGTGTGTCTTCCTTGGAGAAGTGTCTGTTCAGGTCCTTTGCCCATTTTATAACTGGATTGTTTGTGTTCCTGGAGTAGAGTCGTGTGAATTCTTTATATATTTTGGAGATCAAACCCTTGTCTGAGATATCATTTGCAAATATATTTACCCTTATGGTTGGTTCCCTATTAATTTTGCTGATGTTTTCTTTAGCTGTGCAGAAGCTTTTTATTTTGATGAAGTCCTATTTCTTTATTCTTTCCTTTATATCCCTTGCTCTAGGGGACAACATATTGGTGAAATATTGCTGTGTGTAATATCTTAGATTTTCATACCTGTGTTCTTATCCTGTAGGACTTTTATGATATCACAACTTATATTTAAGTCTTTTATCCATCTTGAATTTATTTTGTGTTTGGTGTTAGTTGACTGAATTTCATGTAGCTGAAATTTTTTTGCATGTAGCTGTCCAGATCTCCCAACACCATTTGTTGGCGGGGTTATTTTTACTCCATTTTATGCTTCTGCCCTCTTTGTCGAATTATTAATTGAT